TGTCTACATTGTGGAATGGCCGAATCAAGCTCTTTAACATACGCGTTACCTCACATACTTACCATGTATAAATGAAGACCACTATTGTATTGGGATGTAATCGTCTCTTTCTCTTTTCTGTCTATTTCTTGTCCTTGAAGCTGTATGAAGCACATGATTTTTCACTCCACGTTTATTTGAGAAAAATTTAATAAAGTAATTCAGCACAAGATGAGTTCAGATGCACAGGAGGCAGTAAGGGTTGGGTACAAAGGGGACCAGGAAAGAATGGACATAAGGTGCTGAGTCAACACTGGGACGTCCAGGCCAAGCACAAGGGCTGAAGAAGCCATCAGGGAGGACATTTTCTGCAGGGTCAGTGAACCAGGAGCAAAAGCACTCTCCTTGTGGAAGGTCCTGAGAAAGCACTCTCTTTGTGGAAGAATAAGCCAAGCAGGAGACCTCTTCATGCTGCGAAGCTGGGACAGAAATTTCCTCCTTGAGTGTCAACATCTTCACTTCAGCTCAGGAGTCCTGCAGAAGACAGAGGAGAGTGTTGTTTTCAGAGTTAACTCTAAAAACAGCTTCTTTTCCCCTCTTTCAGGGCCTCATGTGAGAGGACTGCAGGAAGAAGAAAAAAATATTAAGTCTTCCTGAGCCAATGCTACCGCAGAGCACAGGCCTTTTAGTAAGCGGAGAGAAGACGCTTTACTGTAAACTGCCTGATCAGAAATTTGGATCCAAACTGTTTCCCGTTACTTCTGTCTTGTGTCTTGCCACCTCTACCACTGTTCTAGAGAAACTGGATCTGTCTCTCAAAGAGGATGAAAGGGCATTACCTGTTGGCTGAAGTCCAGAGTGTCCTGGGAAAGAGAGGGAAAAAATATACTTAAGAGATGTGGAATCAAATTGTCCTCAAATACAATGTCCCCAGGCTCAGATCTCCCACATGAGATTTCTCTAACACCACGACCCACACCAGGAGGGGCAGAGAGCAAGCGGAAACTAAGAGCATGTGACCTAGGCAGCTTCTGTCACACAAATCCAGTGGAATTTCATTAGCCTTATACAGGCCATAAGCCTTTACACTCTGACGTAGTAACCAGGGTTGTTGATTTTGAGGTTTCTGGGAAATCTGAGGTCAACTGGGGAGAGAAAAGCTTTATCCAGGGCCACGGACACACTGAGAACTAGCCTCAGCACAGCTGTATTTCCTCCTCCAGCAAAGCGTATGGAGACATTCAGCCACCAACAGGTTCCTTACCTTTCTGGTTCCTGAAGTAGATGAACAGCCCTACCCCAAGGAAGAGCAGACCCAGAACAAAGCCCCCGACTCCACTCAGCATCTTGCTCTGCGCAGATTCAGACTGTGCTCCTGAGAGAAGAAGCTAGGTTTAGTGATTTTTACCCCAAATCCAACTTCTCTAATTGAGACCCTGTGATTCAGAGCTTTGAGAATGGGGGAAGAAGTTTGCCTTGGAAGCACCAAAATAATTGGCCATTTCTGGAAGATATGTTAAAATCACATTCAGTAGCTACAAGGTTCAGGCACTGAACTCATTCAAATATTACCGCCCTTACATAAAGCAGGACTTGAACATCTGACAAACAAAAAGCCTGGAACCCAGTGAGGTTAAGTAGTTTGTCTACAGTGACGGAGCTAATAAAAGGCAGAGCTGAGATCAGACTCCCCTCCCATCAGGAAGGCCCCTACATCGCTCCTCTTCTCAGATCTCAACGAACAACTCAGAGCAACAGCAACAGCGCCAGATGTACAATCCCAGCCCCAGAGGCAGGGCCTGGTGCCCAGGGCCAAGGGGGTGATCATGACCTTTGACAT